GAATGGCTCCTAGAGCCCCTGGTACCATGTACCAGGTATTACAAGAGTGACTGGTCACTCTTCATGTAACTTGGGTACACTTGGGGTATGTACGCCGTTACAGCTATAGTGTTGATATGGATGCCATTATGCATAGCATATAGTCGCTCAGGACGATAAAAGTGGTTTCGAGAGTCAGAGGTTGTAGATCAAGTAAGGTTGCCGAGCAAGCCTTTTAGTGTTGTACGTCGGAATAGTTCTAGTTGTATAACATGTTTGTGCCGCGTGGAAGCACGATCACATCCATATCATTGATACGTATGGATTTAGCAATAGGTAACTAGACAACGTCAGTGGTGCAATGAAATGGTTCAGAAAAGAAAATGCAGTGTATTAATAAAAACGAAAAGTGTTGAATAGCTGAAACAAATTACTCGAGACTGAAAGCTGAGCCAGCTTGAGCCGCGGACGGCCGCATTTCTTTTTAATACGCTGGCCCTCAAAGACTTGTCGTTTGGCGACAGATCCTTCGGCAGCTTTGCCGAGTAGGTTCAGCACTTCTATTAGATGCACGCACGCACCCAGCTTAAACCACGTTCTACAGTTACACTGTCGAAAGTCGGGGTGAACGAACCAGCCAATTGCGGGTTGCGACTCTGCTTCAAAATCGTATTCAACTGCTGACTGCTCCTCCGCTTTTGAGGGCTTATTTGACAGTGTAGTTCTGGTGTATCGCTGATAAACGTTATACAAGCGACAGCTGTGAACGTTGATCGTTGTTTCTGGGACAAGGGTGATACTAGACGCATTCTGGGCCGATAAGTTACGATAGGCACACAAGGTCTCCACTGACGCACGTGTTGTAGTCTCGAACGTGATGCTTAAAATGAATTTTAAAGAGCAACACTCCAGAAGCTTTTCGAACAAGGTGTTTAGCCGCAGAAGTGTCCTTTGCATGTGCTGCTGTTTGAATTGTCCATTAAAGTTTTCAATGGGGTTGTTCGTCTTCGCCATGCCCATGGGAGTCTCCACGCACTGCCAGAACGATAGATGTGGCGAAACCCTATTCGTTTCTTGGATTCACTAAAATAGGTGATGCGTCTTTTCACGTTTTTCATTACGTGGAAAAACACATCATGTACGTTGGTTGACTCTCCACATTTAGACACTGATCAGCAATTGATTCGAAGGCACTTCGTTGAGCAGCATCTGCATCCATCGTCACGTAGTTGATGTGACCTTGTTCACCCGTAACGGTGACGTACATATCTAACATTGAACGGATGGCATGTTCCCACTGAGGTTGCTTCAAGTCGGACACTAGAAACATGCATACTAAATGAAATTGCCGCCACAAGTCCGATACTCCAACAGCGATAACCGGGAAACCGCTAGTGTTAAGTTTAATAGTTGCATCAAGATGGGTCATGTAGCTATTGGCATATTGAAGTCGCCGAATAGACGTTTTTGTCTCAAACCCGACCACTAGCGGGCTTTCGTCGGATTCCTTTCCCAATTTGGGTTCGCCGATAGAGCCTACAGTATACCCGAAAGCAAAGGCTACGTTGTCGCCAAGGCCACTTGAGTATCGATTTTTCTGGATTAGAGCCTCCATTTCATCAACAAAGTCGTTGTCGTTCAGGACGTTTTTACGGTGATTCCGAACTCGGGTTTGAACACGAGGTAACAATTCTTTCGGATCTGCTGACTCCAGTTTGAATTGAAGGACCATCTCGTTCATTACGCGAGATGGCTTTCCACCCGCTGAAGCTCGCTCTCGAATAAATCTTTGCATACCAAGACTAATTCCACACGTCTTATTGTGCTCAAGTGGACTCCACTCTGAAAATATTGCTTTTGAGGGTTTCTTGGCAAAACAGCATTTTGACAAACCAGTTGCAACCCTGGAGACTACTTGCGCTCTCCGAACACGAAGTCGATTTGTACTTGTAGATTATATAGCGCATCTTGTATTGATTCCCATTCGGCGAGCACACCTGGCATCTCTCGAGTTGATTCTTGACTTTCAACCTTCCCTTCTGTATATCGATAAAATTCTCCATGTCTGCCTCAGTCGAGCAGGAGCGAATGAACTTCCAAGTGTAGCTAGGCATGCTGATTCTTGAGATGAAGGTGTCTCTGTGGGGCTGTTATGGTTTGGCGAATGAACGTCTATATCCGGATTAAACTACTAAATTAGAATTTATGCACGAGACTATTTCAGCTAGCCAATCCGCTTGCGGACAGAATAGCGAATCGAAGTCAGCACCAATCATGGCAGTTGTGTCTGTACTTTCGACCAACCGCTTTGTAAAACTACTTCATCCGTCCGTAATCATGTCCTCAATTCTGTAAATTTCACACGGTCTCTGTAATTCTAGCCATTTGTCTGTACATATGCAAACTTCTCCTCCCTCGCTCGACTCTTTCCAATCAGAAATTAGGACATTTTAGGATTTTTAAATTTTCTAAAGTATTCTAAATTTTGATTTGTAGATACTAATGTCAACTGAGGTTTCGCTGGAGAGGCGAAGCGAAATTTTTAAAATTATAAGTTTTTGAAAAACAAAATGAAAATTTGATGTACACATCGCTTCTTCAGAAGACCGCTAGTCACAAAATGTACACCAAAATCGGTGGACTATGGACTCAGGCGACATTTGCGGCCTGGGGAGGGGCAATTGAAATAAAATTGGTTAGGCTGTTCAGCCAGCTAAAGCTGTCCTCCCAGTATAAGGTTTGTATGTTGTGTACGCTGTGTGGGGGGTCGTCGACAACGTACATCACGTTGCTGACCACCCAGCAAATCTAGAGCATTTCGCGAAGCCTAATTGCATGTTGATACGCTCATTTACTTCCAGGTGGTACCTATGCTTGACTTGCTCGTAATCCAAGCGGTGAACTAGAGAAACGTTCGGTTGTATGCAGGACACATCCACCTGTAAATAGGCGAACAATTCGGGTCACCGTGGTGACCACAGGAACCGACGGTCCTATCGTCCTATGTCGAAGTAGACGTCTTCAAACAAGCAACCGCTTTTCTCTAATCGCGTCTGTTTCAAGTACCAGCGGTCCTTTTCTTCCTTTCGCAGATTATGGACACCTGTTGCAATCTTCAAACATTCATGAACACTACTAAAACCGCTCAAATTGTCCAAATCTACAGGTAAAATTTCTGAGCTGACACGACTTGATAGAATATGTACGTAGTAAACCAGATTCTGGAATTCTGAAAACATAGTTGGGGTTGGTATTCTTTTAGTACGAACAATGTGAAAACGGAACGACATGCAAACATTGACGCGACCCCTGTCAGCTAGAGTTCAAGCCCCGTTGGATGGCCTAAGTTTCCACTACATCGATATCGTGACTAAATGCGGGAAATCGTAGACAATTTCAATGTCGATGATACTGCGACTTTCGCGGTACCGATGCACTGTCTACAGACGGAGATTCGTAGAAGGTTGCACGGTGCCGGTTCCTCCATTCAGCGTGTTGAAGTTGACCGAAGACCGCTGCTCTGTTGAAGGAGACCGAAGACCGCTGCTCTGTCGAAGGAGACTGTTGTTGTTGTTGCTCCTGCTGCTGATTGTTTTGCTGGTCATTCGACGGAGCCTGAGTCGGTTGTTGGTTGTTCGCGGGGGCTGAAGTTGGTTGCTGGTTGTTCGCAGGGGCTGGCGTCCACTGTTGCTGATTTGAAGGGGGCGCTGGCGTGGGTTGCTGGTTGTTCGAAGGCGCCTGGGTCCACTGTTGCTCCGGAGAAGGTGCTTGAGGAGATTGTTGGTCGGACGATGGGGGCTGATTATCCTTTTGGTCGGACGACGGAGACTTGTTTTCCTTTTGGTCGGTATTTTGCGAGTCGTTTTCTTTTTGTTCGGTATTGGGAGCCTCGTTTTTCTTTTCCTCGTTATTGGAACCCTTGTTTTCCTTTTGATTGGTGTTTGGTGTTTCGTTTTCCTTTTGATCTGATGACGGAGCATCGTTGTCGTTGTTATCAGTCTTCGGAGCCTCGGTCTCCTTTTGCTCGGTCGAGGGCGATTGCTGCTCTGTTGAAGGTGCATCTGCCGCTGGAGACTTTTCCTTGTCCTTTCCCGCTGAAGAAGCCTGGATGGTAGACGTCTCCGAAGTCTTCGAGCTTGTCTGAGAGCCCTGCGTTTGGGTTGTCGATCCACTACTTCCCGAGAGGGGAACGCAGTTAACTAAAAGGGCATCGATTTGTCAGTAATTCAGGAACAACATTATTGCGCCAGTGCTAAATGCAACAACAAATCCAAAACCTACCGTAGGTCTGCCACTGTGCATTCTGGAACGCCAACCAGTAAATCGTCAATGTGCATTTGCCGTTGCACGAAGAGAAGTCCACGGGCATCTCCGACCCCGACGACGAGCCGTCGGATCCGCCAGGATATTCCTCCTCGCAGTCGTCACCGTGAAGTACCATCTTGTCGTCAAGGTAGATTTCGCACGGACCAACGTGAGTGAAGCCGCCACCACGATGGCCAAACCACTTGACTTTACCGTCGGACGGAATGGGCTTCGGACTACCATTTTCCACCGTATTGCCGCATTTCTGGTCCTTGACCATATCCAGCACGACATCCTTCACGGACATTCCTTTCTCCTTGGCCATCGTCTTGAACTTGCCAACTTGATCGCCACCAGACCCGATGTCCCAGTAGTTGTCAACCATGGTAATCCAGCCTGGATTCGGAGAGTCTTTCCAGTCCGGCTCGGGCTGTTTGAGATAACCATGAGCGTCGGCACGAGAAGTAAGAACCACGAGGGCAATAGCTGTCGAAAGGGCGCCAGCAAACATTGAGTGTGAGGTGGCTACTTGTGGAGGAGATTGCAAATTTTAGACTGAGGTGGACCCACGCAAACTGAATTATCCCTTAAGTGCCCTCACGGCGGGCACGTTTAATGTCCAAGCGATGGAACGAAATCTCGTCACCATCTTTGCCAGTCCACGTCTGTTGGATCACTTTGAGTTTCAGATACGTTTACGCCAATGACACCACAATCAACACGAAAAAAAAAAGTGTTCTGGAAGCACTTACTAAATTCAAAGTAAACTGCACACTTTATGGCGTGCTTGTACTCTACAGCAAAGCCACAGGGTGGTCTTAGCCGCAGCAAGCACGAAGTGGCCACACGAAATAATGTTCCGCCATCTTCGGGCACTAAAAAAATATTTACGAAATTACAGAACACCAGACTAGTACACGCTATTGGTGTCCCTAGTGAGTTACCCACAGTACGATGAATAATCAACCATGTGTATACTGGCGTTCTATTTGATGATTCTTTAGTAAATCACAAAGCTTATTGAGTTTTTTTTTTGTGCATCTGTACAGGTTCGTAATACAGTACATGCTTGTATGCCATATCCAAGAATTCGAACCTACCTCTACCTTCACATCGAAGGATCCTGAATCGTGCGGCCAATGACGGGAGGTTTGAAGCTCAAGCCCTCTCCCATAAAGCGAGTATTTCGACGTTGTGAACCCCAAATTCGATGTGAAGAGTGTTTATAAGTAAATCGTATCGTTGCGAAAGACGTTTGTAAACACCATATACATGCAGCCAGCAAATCCAGAGCATTACACGCCTATAGTAATCTCCAAACATTTAGTAATCTTCAAACATTCATGAACACTACCGTTCAAATTGTACAATTTTACAGTTGATGTTTACCGGTCCCGTAATCCATTGCCTCAGTGCGATGCATAGCCCATCCTATAAGAATTTACAGATATTTACCTGAGTGGATTATTGAACAGCGAATCATCGATACTAAGGGCCTGGTTCGCGGGCCTGGGTCAGGTTGTCTAGACGGATAGCTCCATTTTCAATTTAACATGATTTTCTAAGGAGTAAAGGGAAATTCACATTTTAAAATGCCCATAAGCAATTTTAAAATTGATCGAACAGCCAATCAGATTCCTGCGTGAGGGCTTTGATAACTTGCCCCCGACGTATTATGATTTCCAGTCATACCTACAAGGGTATCAACAGCAGTTACAGCAGCAGCTTCAGGGGTAACAGGCGCATCAGGCGTGACAACAGCGCAAGGTCGAAGGAGTATCTATGCCCATGTCTGTACCATGGCAGTCAAAAAGGGGCGCTGGTTGTCACCATACGCACTGCTGTACCTACCATATCATTGATAAATTAAGATTAGTCGGGTTTCAATATTGAGAGCCAGCATCATTAAAACGCACATAAATTCACAGCAATGTACATGTACTACTGGTATTCGCTTAAGCGCAATTATGCATAGGTTCTTGTTAAACTAAAAGAGTCAAAGTTGCAGTGCGCGAGGTAATATGTTCGAACTGTATTCCGGAATAACTGCGCTAAAAAGGCGTTTTAAGCTATGAAACTTGGTCAGTTAGCAGTTAATACACCAGAACGGAACTCAGGCGTATATTTGTTTTACGGCTTGTACAGCAAAAAGTGTAACTAGTCTGGACTCGAAACATCCAGTCTTACTGCGCACCCAGACTATTTACGAAGCAATACATATAGCAAGATAAACCTTATATGGGTCAAAATCTGGACCAATGTATAGTACCTTTACAAAAAGTATGTTCACTGTCTGTAGTGTCTGCAGGGATTGAAGACACGATGGGGGAGTCGGCAGCTCCCTGGAATTATGGCCGAAGTCTATTAAGTAAAAGACAAAGTGAGCACTTGGCTGATCTACTCTAGCTAGGGCTCAATATGTGTTTGGTTGGCTGGTGTTGCTGTCAGCACAATTGTCGTTATGGCTAGCACTGTCATCACCACTAACGTTATGGTAATCGTGAGTCGCGTTATTGCAGTGGCTTCAACAAGCTGGCTCGTTATGCACGAGAGCAGCCAGCTCTGCAGCTAGCTTGGCATGGCTGGTATTATCCTGGCACTACACTGTCATCACTCCTTTCCACTCTCGAAGTTCTCGCCATATTGGTCAACAATATCTATAATAGGAGCGGAAAGTCGAGCTACTTCCAATCGCCCACTCAAAACCTTGGAAATCCCTCACTTTATCATAACTTTCGAGGAACACTAGTCCCTTCGTGTCTATTCGCTGACTAAAGCAATGCAAAGCCAGCATATGATAAAACTGTTTTCGTGGATGCGGCAGGGGTACTCGGTCTCACTTGATCTGTCAGTGTCGTCAAGTATGGCTGTGACGACGGGATCTGAGCGCTGGTTTTGATACTGTTTAGCATCTGCAGTACTCGTGGCAGACGCTGCATTACAGAAATGACAAGGCACATGTCCTCCCTGCTTTTCTTCTAGGACAACCCCGCCAAACACATGATTGCGGTTGCCACACACGCCACATGCATGTGAAACGCTAGACGCAGCTGCTGCGCTTTAACATGGTCGAGTATTGTTGTCTTCTGCTTGCTCTTTGAAAATGAGCTGTCTGCGATAACCCAAGAAGCCGGTGTGGAATTATATGTCTCAATTACGGTTGCATCCATACGAAATAGGACCGACGGTCGCAATTAGTCAGGATTGGGAATTCAGTTCCCATGGGCACGATTAGTCTGGACAAGACTAATTAGCTGTCCAGACTAACTAGACTTCTTACTGTAATAACACTCTTGGTTGCGTTAAAGTTCTATTTGCGATGGGGAATGCTTTTTTCTTACATTAGGTGCTTTGTCCATCTGAATTTCTTAGAAGTATTAGGTAGTAGCTGTCCAGACTAATTACACTTTTTAATGTAGTTACTGGGATTCAAGAGTGACATAAAATGGTAGCAGTGACAAAACTGTTTGTACATGTATTATGTATCGCCCAAATCGTCTGCAGACTTGGGTTGACTTTTTAAAAGGATCAAATTTGCAAACAGAACTACTTAGCACTGTGCTGAGTTAAATAGGTGGTGCTGCTCACCACCACAAGAGACGTAGTTTTTTTTACTTCGATCGAATCGGTAGTTTGTGTGCTTTCTCTAGTTTGTTATCTCTAGCAGGTCCTCCCCATTGTGGTTTGCACACTAACACATACCTGCATCCCCCCCCCCAATAGACTACTCTGCGTCCCCTACTTCGGCTTGCACGTAAGCGCACGCTTATGAGGAAGCGAAGTTTAAACTTAGAATAACTAGGCTTTTGGAGAACATAAACCAAAACACATAAAATCTGGCGAACTTAAAAGCCCATTTCCTACAATACACAAAGGTAATGCAGGCTGGCGATGTCTTTCTGGTCTTTGCCTGACTTCGCCTGAAGAGTAGGTCTTTAGGTATCCTTAATGACGCGGCAGTATCATTGGTCAGGATGGTACCGGACTGTGCGCTGAGTGCAGTACAAGGATAGGGTCGAAGTTGTTATACGTGCGCCGCACCACCTGGCACCATTCCGCTATATCCATGACAGCGATTAATTCACCTGATGATATAAAAGATGTCTTAAAACCCTATATGCACATCAGACTACCTATGGTGGACCTACAGCAGAAGAAAAGCGCGTACTCGACGCCTACACTACTACCGATCTAGACATCGGGGCGTCGTAGGCGCGTATTCTGGAGAGTTGCCGAAGTTGATGGAAAGGTCAACAAGGCCAGGCCGTTAAGCAGTATAGCCGCTATGCGCTGCTGTACAACGCAAAGTCGACGAAGTGGAACTACGTATACACCAATGCATTGAAATGTTGAGCTATTGGTCGTTGCATGCTTGTCGACATGCGTAGTAGCGCGTAATGTCAGCAGCACATGGACACACACTCTCAAGGCTCCCGAAAAATCAATTGGTATCACAATAATTGCAACCAATGTAGCGTAATTATTGCTTGCAGCGATTTGGTTGGCTAAAAGCAATTATTTACTACGGTGCAACGCACATTTTATTTATTTACTGATATAACCGGTAACATGCTTGGGGACCAGCCGTTGAAATGAATGGCTAGCGAGTTCAAATAGCTTATAAGCCTTGTCGGGACTGCCCTCACTGTCATTCTACATTTGCAATGTTCTCTAACAAGTAGATCGCTCAATTCTACTTTCGTCTAGTCCTCGACGACCAGAAGGAACCTATATCTGCCTACTACCGCTAACGCTGCTCGGTTGTGCGCCAACAGGCGCCACGGACTGGCTGGAGCAACCTGGCCCAGCACGTCAAGACTCAGCATCTTGACTACGCTGAGGTCATGCGTGCTGCAGTTCCAGCCGCTACCGGTACTCTGGCACCGTGGTTCGCCAGCACAGCCTGAACTTGTTCGGCTGGATGAGCTGGATCATCAAGAGCAACTTGCCTCTTCATTTTTGCGAGGACGCAGAAACACGCAGGTAATTTTGAGTTTCTAATCTGTTGGTTTTAGTTATTTACTCTGTCTTTTTGCTGCTGTAGATACACTAATCTAGATCGCATCAGCCAAGAGACGCTGTACCACGGGTTAGAGAGATCGACGCGTCACGTAGAGGCGGCAATCAAGGCCGACATGCCGAAGCGGTACGGCTTGATAATCGACGGGTGGGCGTTTAACTCAGAGCACTATCTGGCCGTGTTCGTCGGCTTTGAAAAGGCGGGAACAGTACAATACCCGCTGCTGACCATGGCACCGCTGATGAACTCCCCGATGGATGACCGCTCCGCAGCGACCCACCTGACGTTTCTACGTGAGATACTGTTGTGCGACTACAACAAGCGTGTAGAGGACTGTCTGTTTATTGTAGGAGAAAACTGCTACACTGACCAGCGCCTTGCTAACCTCTTGGGTGTGCCACTGGTCGGTTGAGCAAGCCACCGCCTCAATCAGGCGGTGCAGGACTTTTTCCGTGAAGTATCGGACGATTTAGACAAAGTCAAGTCGCTGATAGTCAACCTGAAGAGTTTAAACCAATCCGCAAAGCTCAGGTAATTTTCAACGATTTTTGTCCAATGATTGCACGTTAACTTTGTTAACTCCGTTTTAAGCTCAAAACTCCATTGAGGCCCATGCTAAGTCAGGACACTCACTGGAGCTCCACGTATTATATGATCCACCGCTACTTTCGACTGCTGGAGTTCATTAAAGACGACGACGAGCTAGCCGACAACCTGCCCGGTCCAGCTGCCAATCGCCGCTTGCGCAAGTTCCTGGAGGTCCTGTCGAAGGTCGAGTCTGTCAGCAAGGGGTTGCAGGCTTCTACGGTATAACTCCTGGACGCGCGTGTGTACTTCGAAGGACTGTTGGAGTCGCTGGCATCACATATCGGTAATGCTACTCGTTATATTCTTTCAATATTCGCACTAATACGCTTTCTATTTAGGTGCCCGAGCTGCGATTGTTCACTCGCCTCATTTTGAGACTGCGTGTGTAAAAGTATTGGACGGCAAGACAGCAGAACTGACGAGTGCCGAGACTGTGTTTCTGCGCCGCTTTGCCGTCCAGCGTGAAGAGACTTCCGTTGCAGCAGCGATTGACGATGCGGAGAGCTCATTTGTTGAGCAGGTGAAGAAGCGTCGTAAGCTAGCCACAAGTGGGGCCACCAAGTACGAGTTGATTCACGCACTCCTGCCAACGTCAAATATCGTTGAGCGATTTTTTAGACTCGCCAAGGCTACTGTCGGTACGCAGCGCCAAGGTCTGAATCCTATCACGCTCGAAATGCTGCCGTTTTTGCGCGTGAACAGCACCTACTGGAACGCGCAAGTGGCCAACGAGCGCATGTAAGCAGAGATGGAATCATTAGTGCTTGCACTGGCAAAGGTATTGCAATAATTAAATTTGTTTCTTTTGCTTACTCCCCCGATAATTTACGTTGCTTGTCGAGTTTCATTTGTGAACAATGCCATATTCGGGAGCCCTGCACACTCTAAATACAAAACAGTAGTTGCATGGAGCCATATTGACTTCGCGTGGTATTTGCGTAGGTGACCAAGCGCCAACCCCTCAGCGTATACCGCGGATTGCACAGATCGTAAGTTGTTGAAAGGTTCATCACTGGGAAGCTACGAACGCAAGCCTATTGAAGTTAATTTATTGTTCAGAATATTTATTTCGAGAATGCAATTGTGTTGCTCTCCGTGACAAAAATGAGCGTCCCACATGGATGAGGAAGTTGCCTGCTAACTTTAATACCATGTACATCAATCATGTAGATAGAGGTAACAAATCGAAGCTAGTCCCAGCAAATTTTGTAGTAGTTAACCCTTTCGTGGACGGGTGGCTATATTATAGTATAGAAGGTAAAGTCATTAGGCCATCAAAGGGGGCAAAATGCCCCTTTCATAAACTACGATACTACAGCAAATCTTCTGCAAATCCTTGTAGTTCAAGTAGAAAGGTCGAATCCGCCTCGTCCAACACACAAAAAAAAATAATGAAAGGGGGCATTTTGCCCCCATTCGTGGGTGATACGAGTGGTACTCAAGGATACGCCCTCCAAAGGGGGCAAAATGCCCACATTGACCACGAAAAGGGTTAATTGGTTCTCGAAAGATACGTCGCGTGACGAAAGGATCTTATGAACCTATACTCGGTTGCATTTGGTGGCATAATTAAGTACAGTCAATAAGAAAAATAAGACTTAGTCTATACCTTTCTGTGTTTTTTTATCGCTTTCCCTTCTTAGAAATACCAAAAAAAGTTTTTTTATACAGTTTCTTTCAAGAAAGAAAGTTTGATTTAACATATATCTTGTAGGTCATATGATGCTATACTTTGTTGAATTAGCTAGCTGGTGTTCACGGCAAGGACACACGTTGGCGCTGTGTGCTCGACAACGCAAAATAATTTCCAGCTGTTTGTGTAAATACTGGAGCGGGCGCTTTAAAATCCTTTGTTTAGGAATTATGTAAAGTTATGATTTTAGTGCGTAGATTGGCCTTATCCAGCACGGAGCAGGGGGGGGGGGCAGAAACTGTGCGGTGCACATTTCGGAGAGACCCTTTATTATCCATGGGTTGCGTTCATCTAAGGCACTAGACTGGAGGGACTTCAAAAGCGCGCGCTTGGACATGATTTTCTTCTGGATATCATATTGAACTGCGATAAAAGAGAGCGATCCTCAATGTGACCCATCTTGAAGTTCAGATACTGAGCCCGTTTGACCACAAAATATACCAGCACTTGTGTTAGACCCATTCCTGCCATATTCAGTTTGAGTAGCACTTCGTAGAAGAAGCGCATCTTGAAATCGTGTTTGTCTGATCGCGCGAATTGGACAAAGATGGCCTTGACTTTGTCCTTGTCAAAATGCACCACATCGTAGCCTCCTTGGTTCCGTGCGAACGGCTGCAACCAACTCCGATCTCCTTTGATTTTTCCATTTGGTAGCACTTTAAATCGTTTCTTCGGATCGAACCGAAGAACGTTGCTTGGGGCAGAACATCTTCAACTACGTGGTCACCAAATTTATTCACTGCACGCTTTGGCACAGATGCCAAAACCAACCATTCAAAGAGGTGGCCGACCACCGAAGGGTTATTTGATTCATTTAGACGAGTCGCCAACTGGGCAGTGGTTTTCTCGTCACATTCTTTCATAAAGAGGGAGGCCGCATGCGAGCTCACGGAGAACCGCGCATTATAGACGCCGTCACGTTGCTTCCCATAGAGCATGCTGATTGCATCGGTGTCCAAATTGCGGTAAATATTTTATCGGGTCGGATACATACACGGCCGCATTGAGATGCCTCCGTTGTCACGCGTCAGTGGTCAGCCTTTGAACTTCTTTGAATTTCACTATATTACCGGCTTCAATGACAGTGACCAACCTAGCAGAATTATCGGGTGGGTGCATCCCGAGTTAATTGCACTGTTAACATACGCGGACACATCGTTATTTGTTGATGGCACGTTTCGTTGCGTGCCTCGTGGGTTTCAGCAGTGTGTCGTAGTCATGGTGCACGACAGGTCATCTGGAAAGTATGTACCGGTGTTTTACGTTCTCACTCCCCACAGATCGAGGCCTACCTACAATTCCATGTTCCAATTTATTCGAGAAGCCGCAGACAACCAACGGGAGCCTATGGAGTTTGTCTGCGACTTCGAACGAGCTCTTTTTGACACCGTTGGCGAACAATTCCCAAATGCTGATGCCATCGGTTGCTTTTTCCATTTTAAGCAGGCCGTCTGCAGAAAGATGCGAAAAATTGGTGTTTCCATAGCACAGCAAGTATAGCGATGGCAATGGACGTACTTGACATGCTCACCGTTCTGCCTGTCGACCAAATTGAGGGGCCCGGTATCCGCTGGGTGAAGCGCCAATTCAAGGAACGCTGTAGGGAAAATGGAGTTGCATATATCCGCTCTAGGTGGGGCATAATCTGGCGCTACTTTAAGCGCACATGGCTCTAGCTCTATGACCCTGTTCTTTGGAATGTCCATGGACTAACTGAGCGCCTTGTTGCACGAACGAGTAACCCGTTAGAACGATTTAACCGAGAACTAAATGCTGCATTCTCGACACCCCATCCAAGTATGGCAATGTTCGTGGCCACGATCGAGGCTCTTGCGCGATAGCACGTTGCCCTGTTAAACGCAGTTCGTGACAGGCGTGCTCGTGGAGAACAACGCGAGACTATTCGACTGCCTGGAGCGGTTGAGCTGTCGACGGAGTCCGAGGACTCAAGCTCTGATGAAGAAGACATGGAGATGCAGGATTCGGACGCTGATAAGAGACCCAGGCCGATGCGGCCGAAGACGCTGAGAGTGTAGTCACCTCGGCAGTTGTCTGAACGTGGTAGGAGGTACGAGGTGCATTCTTCATACTTGGACGAATATTTTAAATTTAATACATTTACCTGCTTTACAATGGTCTGCTATCTAGTAGGAGCTGATATTGCGGTCTGATAATGCATCTGACCTCTGCATCATGCCCTACCAGTAGGTAACCCGATAAATAGCTAACCCAAATTGCCACCGCAATATTTGACCAGATCTGTCCTGTTGGCGACAGATTCAACCGCGGATTTCAGACTTTCCATCACTTCGTTCGTGAAGTATTAAAACATGAACCGACATGAGCCACCAGGATAGTAGAACTCCAAATCAACAGATTGATTCTTCTTCTTATCCTCATTCAATTCTGCATCGATGCCGTCGTCTGTTTCACTTCAGTGGCGCTCGTTGCGTCCAATTTTGACGCGACCTTGTTATAAAAAGCTTGGTTGGTGATGGCTGCGAGATAGTCGTCTTTCGTCCATGAATATATGAAGTGCATTTGGATATTCGCATGACGATCGCCCTCCCGGTTACTTTTACCAAGTGAGGCCATCGCGGAGCAAACCACAAGTCTCTCGTTTTTCCTGTGGAGAAGCGTAAAGACGTGTTGGAAAAAATTTGCGTGATCAGTCGTTGCCTTGAAGCCACCTAAACAATAAAGAGCTTTTTGACGGCGACTCGAGGCAACTCAAAACTAGATAAATCGGCAATGTCCCAGTAATGTTATTCCTTCGTTCCCAACGACGTTCCATTCCTCGTGATCCAAAGAAGTTGCGAAAATTAGCGTAGACACAGATTTGCCTGTGCCAGGAGGACCCACAACGAATCCTCTTACATTCTCAGCCATGACTTCATTTTGAAGAAAACCCCGCAGATCATGCACTTCACGACGACAATACAGCATTAAGTCATCCAAGGCTCTGTAACCGCACTTCTCAAGAAATGCAGCTGGCAGCGTCACATATTGCACCCATTGGGTTTTAATTCATACGTAATCACTTATTTGGGAAAATGTCATCTGAGGGTCGGAGTTCCACCAGCACGTGAATCTCTTTGCGCTCAGGCTTAAAGTTCTTCCCAAAGTAGGTCTCGTCATCGAGTTTCCAGGATGGACGCAAGTTCACGTACTGCTTGTCGACATCTTCTCGCATGAAATTCGTCACATGGTGGTCGTCCTTCAACCACACGCCACCCTCTTTCCGCGCCAAGTACAGCGTCAATTTGTTCGAGTCCACTCGCTGTATGGTAGCTTTGCAAAGATAGTCTCCTGCAGTGCGCTTACTTTCGCATCGCTCGCGATCTTCACAAGAAACATAGTCGCTTCGCCGTAGACAGCGCACTCCAGCTCAACCTCCGTCATGCTCTTCCTTTGTTGAAAGTTCTCGACTGAGAAGCAACATTCATGCAGCCCACAGCGTATTTTAACAATCATATCACATCAATAGTTTTTTATTTTTCTGATAATGTAAGCCTCACTACATTGAAACTAAAATTTAGGTTCTAAGAACCTAAATTTTAGCTTATATTAGTGAGATCATCTTAAACAATAAAAAATAATACTGGGTATAGAATTAATAACAATGTGCAAGAACATTTTACCAGAGAACCACCCAAAGGCGAAACAAACAGTGCGGCTCAAAAGGCGATTGGTGCCGGCATCACGCGAAAAATCAGCCTGTACTTGATCGATCTGCAGTCGAAGCAACAACACCAAGTAGCTCTTACACTGATAATGTTTCAGAACCAGCTATTGAAGAAATGTATGACAAGCATTGCATCACATCAAATCTGTTTGTAATTACGACCAAACCAAGTCGGGAGACGCAAGAGTTCTGCCACCAAGAGATTGGGTCAAGCTTAAGTTGCACATTGTTGAAGATTCCATTGACTACAAGCACAGTGATGCTGTCACACCTGCTTTGGAAAAGTCGGACAATGCCGTGCACGGCACGAGGAAGGTCTGGTTTTTCATGTGAATACTTGGAATGTAATAATTGTAGTGATTGTAATAATAGTAATTTCCACATGAGTAGATAGTAAAGTACATTACTAGATATATTGTAGTACCTCTGTGATAGTCGAGAGATCTGATTGGCCGGGATGGCATTCAGACATTTTCATCGAAAGTTGAAGTGTACATTTTTTGAGTTGTGCAATTTTAGCTCCTGCGGTTTTAGTCCACTACAAACTCAAAGTGTGACGTGGCTATCCCATCGTCGCCCGACGCCCATGCAGGCCTTGCTTAGCCGTATCGTGGTGGCGCCCACGGAGCCCGAGGCAGCATCTTCACCCGCCAGTAGCTCCGTAGACATCTCGATCTCTTCACCCAGCCCTGCATCACCCGCTGCGTCTCTGAAGAACGCCACAAACCCCGTCCAAATCGCTCTATCACCCGATGTAAAGGCTGAAATCGCATTGGCTGTCGAGCGCCTGCAGTTCGCAACGCTGCTGGGCGAGCGTAAGAAAGCAGTGAGTGCTCTTCAATCGTTGGCACAGAAGTTCGACGCCAGTCGAAGTCCAGGCGGTCGTAAGAGCAGCGGTGTCGAACCTACAGTTGAAGAGCAGGAACTCGGGCATGCTGCTGTTCCCGCTGTGCTAACAGCACTAGTGTCCGATCCACGAGATACAGAGCTCATGGAGGCTCTGCTCGAGTTTTTGCAGTCCATAGTAAGCCGTGCGCCTTCAGCAGCGCTCCTTCTGCTCGAACAGCCCCCGGAGAGCTCTGTTACTGCTCCGTGGGGAATGCAAACCAGTCTCACGCTGGTACAAGACCCTTCGCCGTGGATCCGAGGCCCCGCTATCGCACTGATTAGAGCGTTACAAGAATCACAGCCGAGTGTGTTCGCTAAGTCCGTCTTGGAGTGTAAAGAGGGCCTTCGACGCCTTCTAGAAGTCGTGGAGGACCGTCGCGAGCATATTCGAGATGCAGCCCTAGCCGTTCTTGGACAATTGACTGGACGAGACAAGAATGCACAGCAATTCTTGGCTTTTGAAGAAGGTTTTACCAGATTATTCCAGATCATGGAGGTCGAGGGCTTAACGGAGACTGGAGCGAGTCCTGCGAGCAACGTTATAGCGGACTGTCTGCAAATTGTGAACAATATGGTGAGAGATAATCTCATGACGCAGACGCTGTTCCTAGAGATGTCATACTTGGAGTCTCATGTCCCGAGACTACTGAGACTATCAGGTATTGATGGAGGCGACGAAGAGGAAGATCCCGCGGCACTAGGACGCAGGAAGCGTGTATTGAAGCTTGGACTGCAGCTGGTCCGTTTCTTAGTGGCGGAGCTATACGAAGGAGCGAAGGAGTCATCACTGGACGAAATAGCACTACGCGACCGAGCTCGCAAAAGTCAAGAACTGGCAAGGATACAGAGTCTTGTGGCTCGTCAAGAAGCGCTGATGGGTGCAGTAGGCGAGTTGGTGTGTTGTCATAGCGATGCACTGACAGATTTACGCCTACAAGCGTTGGATTTGCTACGTCTAGTGAGCGAACACAATGGCGGTGCACAGATGATTCTGGTGAATCTGTACGCGTCGCCGTCAGGACGCAATGTGCTGGCAGAGTTGGTGAATCTTGACGTTGGTAATGAGAGTGACGAATCACCTGTAGCTGCTGCGGCTTCTGCACTTTTGGATGCGCTTTTCGAGGAGAATGAGGGAGCACGTATGGCCGTACTGCAGCATATCCAGAGTCCTCCACCTCTGCCGATCTCCGCAAGCACAGACGTCACGAGCGGTGGATATGATGCACTCCCGCCTTCAGCTGGAAGGGTCCTACTGGACGCATTCATCGTGAACATTGACTTTATTTTCCAGTGCATCGATAGTGCAGATGTTGACACGCTGAATACGAAGCTTGTGGTGGCTTGGAAAGCGGGTCATCGACTTAAAAATTTACTGGCAGATAGTTCGTACTGTAAAGAGCTGGCACTGCGAGTACCGGCTGAGTACGATGACCCACAAGCTCGTGCTGTTGCTGGTGGATTGTTCCTTTCGCGTTGCCTTCGACTGTTACGATCGTCAGAACAAAAGTGGAGTCCTGCAGTCCAGTCTATTGTCTTTCAAACCCAGCTGTCGCTACTGTTGTTGCTAGTCCGCTGGTGTCACGGCTGTCCTAAAGCTGTCCGAGAGATCGTTGGGTCTGTTACAAACTTGTCGGTGCTTGTGGACTCTCTTTCGGAGAATCTGTCGTCTCCATCTCAGCGAGGAGCATCGGAGACTACGCAATTACGAGGCTTAATTGCACTTCTTCTTGGCTGTTGCTTGGAGTTTTTGTGTGAAGACGAAGAAGATCAGGCACTGAAGATCGCTAACGCGGCAGGGAATACTGCAGTTGACGAAGAGCTAGGACTGCAGATGACTCGAGACCAACTGCTGCAAATGACCAGCAAACGCGTGGGTCTTGAACGGTTTACAGACGCCTTGGTTCAGTTCCAGCAAAGTCCGGCAATACTAGCATGTGCTCGAGGTAGCAAGACCCAGAGCTCGCGTGCTTTACTGGCCTACCGCGCAACGTACGACGTAAGCGACCCGAATGTTGGTGAAGGATCAAGTGAAGATGATGAAGCACATTACTTGTTTATGCTGTACGAACGAGCGTTCACCATATTCTATCGCGAAATGGCCGAGCAAATCCAGAAACGAGTCATCGCGATCTACACTGGAGTCGATGGCGGATCTTCTCGTTCTTCAGTGGACTCTGGGGCTCCGAATGCAATGGGAGCCTATCAGGATCTCATCCGTATGCAGGACAAACAGATTCACGATCTGCAAAGACAAGTAGAAGAGCTAAAACAACGTGGAATGAGCACTTTTACCGCCCCCAGCACGGATCAAACGCGAGAGCAGCAACTGATGGAGCAACTCGCGGCTCAGCGCAAGGAATTCGAGCGAGAAAAAGGGGTCTTGGAAGCTAAAAACAAGTCTTTATCTGACTCGGTTCTAGAGATGGAGACTCGCGTGAATGGACTTACAATGGCATACGAGCAGCTGGAACGAGAACATCAACAGTGCGTCTCAATCGAAGGAGGTCAGTCTTCGCATTCCAGCGACGTAAGTGAGCAGCTCACTGCGTTGCAAGCCGAGTTGGATGCAGAACGAGAAGACAATAGACGACTGCGTAGCGAAGCAGCAGCGAGTAAAGGTGGCGCGACAAGTCAAGCTCTTCGCGAGAAAAGCGATGCCGAGCTTGCAAACGCTCGTCTTATCAAGCAGCTCGAAGAACTCCGCGTAGCAAGTGAGCGGAAAGACGAGCAGCTCGCTGAATGCAACCAGATGCTCGAGGCGCTTACCGAAGGCCAAACTCTTGCCAAGACTGACAATGAAAGACTGAAAGCACAGCTGGCAGAGGCGCTATCAAGATGTGGTGAAGCAACAGAATCCGAAGTCAAAAGCGTCATCAACGGTCTAAAGGAGGACAAAACACGCTTGGAGCGCCGTGTTGAAGAGCTGGAAGCCGCCGCGCGTGTAGCTTACGAGAAGGACCAACAGGTTCTCCAACAACGAATCCAAGAGGTCGAACAAGCGCGACGAGCGAGTCCTCCGGCGAGTGACGAGCTAGAAAATGAAGAACTACAGGAGGTAAATAGCGAGGATCCTCGCCTTAAGGAGCTTGTGTCTACTCAGCTCGAAGAACTCAAAGAGTTGCGTGCTCTTGTCGTAGAAATGGAGTCGGTAGCGAAAGAGCGAGAAGCCAAGGTCCAGCAAGCCTCGTTCCTGCAGGACCTGGTGGCAGGATACGACGTGCAGTCGCGACGTGACAAGGAAAAATATAACGCCACGATCCGCGAGCTGGAGGACGAGCTAGCCCGCGCGTTTTTAGAGAAGAAAGAGGCCGGACGCAAGGCCAAGGCAGCGGTGAAAGAACTGGAGAACGAAGTGGCTCGCTTGTTCCTCGCAAAGGTGGAACTTGAGAAGGAACTGGCAGCTCATCATGGTCAAGAGGTCAATCACCTGGGGAATGGAGAGGTTTACAGTGCTCACGGATCCTTCAGGAGATCCGTAGCCTCTGATACCAGCAACGACTCGACAGTTGATGATCTACTCGTGCTGGTGGCAAGCTTAGAGATCCAGTGCTCAGTACTACGTGAGACTTTGAAGGAAGCTCAGGGCGAAGACGCCGTCGCAGTGGCAGTCGAGTTGTCCAGACAACGTGGAGCTGTCGTCTCCGTCTAAAAGTTACATGCTGATTCATGTAGCCATTCATCACTCGTTATTTACACGTAGAACTGTGTTCCAGGTCATAATTGCACTCAGTATCTCTGCCATCTTGTCCAGGAGAACACCAGAACCACGAGTAGTCCGTAGGCAGCAGCCACAAGCTTCGTGTCGAAGCCAGAAAACACTGAAATAGGGTCGTCAACGACGTGGATGTGACTACCTGAGCTCGTATGGGTATCGCACGTCGCTCGACACGCTCCACAAGGACACTGCTTGTCGTCCGTCGACTTGGAGGCGATAGATTCCAGCAGTTGAGCTTGAGTTGGGAGCGTCTCGCGGGTGGTAACAACCTCTGAGTAGTTTGAGCACTTGAGGACATCATGGTCGAACGACTTGTCCTTACTTGCGTTGAATGCCATCGTGATATATTCTCCATGACCCACCGCTCCGACCTGCATCTGATAGTTCAGGAATCCTAAAGACGACTTCATCGCTGCCGCCATGGACGCCATGGCCGTGTTCTTGCAGGAATCAAAGATTGCGCAGGTCATGTCCTTGGCTAGTGCCACATTCAGCTCCAACACCTTGACCTTCTCCTTGCCAGTCATGGGATCCGGTCGGTAGTTAATACTCGGCCAGTCGTGAGCCATTTGCATGAACTGGTCCTGCTCGGGAGAACAGACCAGGCCGCACCATAGACTCATGAGGTTGGCGGCGCAGGCGTCGCAGCCTCCGGCGCTGTTCTTGGCGAATACACTCGCTACCAACTTGAAGTTCTCGGCCATGGCTTGATTCTGCTGCCAAGAACAGCACGCGTTGTTTTTGTAGGCGGGGCATTGGATGGTGAACTGCTCGCAGTGCGGGCCAGAAGCCATGCCGTCTTTGCGGCATATGCAGGCGCCGTTGATACATTGGCCTTTGCCACTGCAGTCGGTAGCGGAAGTACAGTTGCCGCCACCGACGACACTGGGCCAGCCGTCGCCTGTCATGGGCTGCGGCTCTGCGGGCTCCTTGTGCGCCTCAGGGATACACGCGTCGTAATCTGGCTCGTTGTCGGGGTTCACACACGTCTGCGTCATCACGCATTTGGCCTCGGAGGGCGCTGAAGCCGTCGCTAGCAGCGCGAGAACGAGGGGGAACAGCGCCGTCATCTTCAGTTAGTGATCTGATTGACGGA